TTTCGATCCTGGCCATGCCAACAGTGACAGGAACCCATTCTTATATTCGCATTAAGCTTTGAAACCACATGCGCATACACCAACAAGTTGAACCTTTTACTTAGCGTGAAAAACGAATAACTCATAATCTAACAACAAGATCAATCCAGTTCAGCCATGAAGACCAGGGCAAGAATCACATGGTGCCAAGTTTGGGGAAAAACATGCAGCATGCCCTGAAACCACATGTGTGCACATGCACGCAAGACTTTAAAATTTGCTTGCTTGCATAACCCTATAATAAGACACACTTTCATGTGATGTATGTGCCATGCCACATTGATCAAATGTCCTTTTATAATAAACATGTTCAAATATGTGTTTCCTTGTCATTGTCAACACGGCCCAACCCACCCTCACCTGGAACGTTCCCTTTGCATTCCCGGCTGTTTCATCTCCACTTTGAACCGCTTCCATCTCTAAATCCATCGTCTCTTCACCAGGCTCATCCACATCTTTTTTTTGGGGGGGGTCTGCTGGGACTTCTACATCCCCCTTCTTCAACTGTTTACCATCCATAGGCCCATGCTGATTTTTATTCTGCTCCCCACCATCTGCATTCTTCTCATCTTTCTTTGAAGGGGACATGAGACATTCATCATCGCTTTCGATATCAATGACTTTTTCATCGTGTTCTGGGAATACACATGGATCAACGGCCGCTTCCTCCTCTTCTGGTATTTCTTCATTTTGTGATCCTTCATCTAGTTGGGTGGCCATTGTGATGTCTGAACTTTTTTTGAGGATCCCAGGAGCAGGTGTAGAAGGTGTTGATGGTGTGAGCTTCAAAGGGTGGAGTGGTGACCAGGGAGGTGCAAAGTCGTTGATTTCCTCCGGGCTCCACTGCTGGGTCTCCACCTGGTCTGGGTTCGGGACTGCTGTCTTGTTCGCTGCTGCCTTCGCCTGTTCTTTCACCTGTGCGCGCAGGAGTCACACATTAATTTATAATATATTTCCCAAATATATTTTACAGGACAGGACAATCTATTCATGTGAGCTACACGCATGGGACATTTCCAACACTTTATAAAGGTCAAGAATATAGAATCAAAGCCACACCTTCATACCATGCAAAACTGGATCAAACAGCGTTTGTTTCCACGTTTTTTTTTAAAGGTTTGCAAAGCTCCAGAACAAACTGAACAAATCTATCTCCATATAATCGCTGTGTAGCAAAAGGATGTCTTTGATCAAATGGGTCTTTTATTGGAGACTTCTAGCAGCTTCCAACAAAAAACAACACCCACAAGGCCTTGTCTTTGCTTTTGGACATGCCACGTCCACGGGTGGCAACTTTCTTGCCTTCAGGTGTCAAAAGGTTGCAGTCCTTGCGGGAGAGAGCAACACATGCTAGCTGGGGTCAAAAGGTTGCTCCATATCTCCACTGTTTAATTTCCCTCCTCTTTGTAATTTTCCCCTTGGTTTGAACCAAAAAACGTCAAATCCTTTGTGGGGGCCTTTAAGGTGGCAAGCCAACGGGAACATTGCTACCATGAACCAATGCCCACAACAAAATATGAAAGCAAAGCCATGAAATATGGATCTCCTTCAAACGCTGGTGGATGACTTGCTTCAGCTGCCCCGCGCGCGTATGTCCAGGCCTACCAGGAATAACAAGAGTCCCAGGCAAAAAAGTTCAAAAAGGACCAAGCCCCACCATGGTCGATAGGCCATGTAACACAGCAAATGCCAATTTACAAAGACTTTTTTGGTTTACCATGTCAAAATATCACTCTGCACAAAGCCGTAACTATCAAGGTTAATTAATATAGTAATAAAATTTTATTATAAATATATATATATATACGGTCTGGTCTTGTTTGCACATACAAGAATCCCCATTCCAGTTTGCAACACTCATCCAGCCTCGAACCAGGGTTTCTGTTGAATCGGTCTAAACAATAAGACCCCATGGCATAGAGTATGCCGGCTTCCACCGAGGACCATGCCTCAGTATCGATCGATATCGAAAAAAAATACACTCCAATATTGCCGGCATTACTTTTGTTTGGTGGCCATTGGTGGCTGCATATGACATACACCGACTACGTGATCAAAAAGGCAAAAAGAGTCCAACAAGCAAATTCAAGACCCCAGCTCCAAATGATGTTTTGCAAATTTGGATTTGTATGAAACATGCGTGTGTGTGTGTGTGCATGTCATATATATGGTGGTTGCGTGCCATGTTTAACCCACTCCAATCACCTGAGCTGTGCACTTCGTGCTTGTAGTGTTCGGTCCACGGGTTGAGTCTGAAGGTGGTGCTAGCCCAAGTCAGCACAACCTGACATGAGGACTAGTCCACTTCTTGCAAGGGAATGCTATCTCCTCATGGTTATGGCTTTTTACTTAATCCATGCATGATCAACCAAACACATCCGACACATACCCAAAAGCAGGCGGCACAAATCACAAGTCATGTCATCAGGAAATGGTTCTTATGAGAACTTGTCCTGCTCATACTTGTTGGATATGTTTTAAAAGATGTTAGAAACTGCTACCTGCTATTTTTGTTGTGTATATGTGACATATCAAGCACATCAAAGATTTATATTTTGAAGACATGGATGTATATGGCCACTGTATTTTCTTCATATGATATAAGTTATCCAGGAGCCAGTGCCAGTTGAAAAAATGATAAATCAAGGTTTGGTAGGTTCCTTGCCTGCAGTTCTTGAAACCGTGGAAACGACTCCACAAAGCTTGCGCAGTAGTCCATGGCCAGATCAAAGTTCAGATCGCTTTCCACCTGGCATGATGAGCTGGATTATTTACCCAATACTGTACCATGGTTTTTCCACCCCCATGCGCGTGTAATAAAACTTGTTTTATGTTGGTGCGCCGATAAATTATAAATACCGATATATATATATATATTATATATATAAAAAAGCATGACAACATGGTGCTGCCACAAACATGGCGTTGGAACATCTCTTTCACCAGGTTCTTTCCCTTCAATCACAAAGAAGCGAAATTTGGGCACCTGATCGGGGAGACAGAAAAAAACTGCAGGGTCATACAAATCGCCACAGCTTCGCCATGTCCTCTCAAAAAAACATGGTGAAATCAAATCCAGATCCTCCAGCTGCTTCACAATATATTTTAAGCAGTGCATTTGATTTATTATATTATGAAATGTGTCTTTCTCCATCTTACCCCCTCCACCTTGTTCTTGTCCTTCTCGGTAAGACCTGCTCGTACTCGAAGCACCTTTCGCCTTTCTGCGATGAATTTTTCATCCGTGACGTAGTCCTTCAGAAATTCCTGCCAGAGGAGGGTATAATATAGGCAAATTTAACACCACCGATGTATATTAGATTGCAGTTGGTGAATATAAGCTAAGTTGCGTGCTGTATATAAGTTGCGTACTGTATAAGTTCTGTATTATTTTCAGCTGATTCAACTTCCCCTAATTATATTAGACAAATATGTTTGTCCAAGTGATCCACGCACACAAAAACTGTCACCCTCATACCTCATCATGGTGATTTGACAATATTTCTCGTATGCTGCAGATGTACACTGTACTACAAACATGCCCCTTGTAGCCCAGTCCTTGACCAGGGCAACGCGAGCTTGGTCAACACGTTTTGGTGAAACCGGCATTGCATAAAGGAGTATCGTTAAGGGATACCGGATACCAAAGACCCCAACCATGATGGTCATATTCTTACTGAGCTGATTCAGCTATATTAATTAATAATTAAAGGTGGTTCTTGGTTTCATGAATTCAAGTTATATTATATATTATCCCCTGTGATGCTTTGATGACACTGCTGTACTTCCACCGCATTAGCTGGGGCAATGTTGCCTGCAGGGCAAAGAAAAGACCAATCAATCAAAGGTTGTCAATCCTGGTGCTCTCACTGATCGATCGATGCGATGAATCCTGAATGAAAACAAATTGCACAGGGGAGGGCGCACCCAGGAGGTCTGTGTCAATGATGTCTTCGCCCTCCAGGCGTTCCAAGTAACCTCACTGGACTATAGTACACCATATGGGCGTAGGGGGACATGTAAAAATAAGATTGATCTGATTGATCATTGAGTTACATCCCTGATACCATGGCAATACTGAGCCTCGGGCCTTTGTTCAAAGCCTTCTTCATGATCAGCCCCAGCAGATGCGCCCATTCCCCATTCCACCAAGAGTGGCATCATGGCAGGAAGGCGGGTGAGAAATATGGATTCCTATCATCAACATCTTTGCGTTGGGGACCATGATCTTCACATTAATGACTAGAGTCATTTTTTAGACATACGATATCATCCCAATTTTATCACAACATCCACCAAACTTTCCGATTTTCCACAATTTTGAATATAAGGTGTGATGCAATCTGATGCAGTAAGCTCATCTTGAGCACGACATAGCCAACAAAGGTCGTTCACGCCTAGAAAAGGTCGATTCCTAACCACCTTTGTTTTCTATGGGGAGGACTTCAAGGGTATATATATATATTAAATATATACTATAACAACAAAAACTGACAGTATCCGACAGTATCAAAGTACAGTATCCATTCGACGCAGTGTAATGTTGCGTGATATCCACTTCTGGCACGTGTGGTTTAGATGAGTGGGAGTGGTTCAGTGGTTAGTAACTGGCGGAAATCGCTAAAGAATGGATCATCACATATTATCACCCAACTAACTTTAGTTGACGAATCTCATGGCCCGTTCCAGTACGGCAAAACATACCCTCTGGTAAACGTTTACAAAACTATGGAAAGATCCACCATTTTATAGCTGGGTAAATCCACCAACTAAATGGCCATGTTCCATGGTTTTTTGTATGTTTACCAGAGGGTAAACCTCCATTTTCCATCATTTTCCTATGGTTTTCCTATGGTTTTCAATGGCTATGTCAGTCATAACCAGGCCGGGTATCGTTTCTCACAAAGAGTCCATCCAACCACGGCAAAACCAACAGATCCGCAGATCCACGACGCTCGGTCCTTCAAGGGCAAGACCGTGTAGGCACGATCTCCCTCGGTTGCTCATGGGCGATCATATAGAAAGACTTGGGTGTTCATCCCAGATCTTATGGTCCATGTATTCAATGGGAATTTCAGGATCCTAAAATGGAGGTACTGTACCATATAAGGCCATATTTTGTGGGGGTATTCCCTTACAGAGGCCTGAAAAATAGGCCTTATATATGGTAGGTACCTCCAATTTAGGTTCCTGAAATGGCCATTGTTCATCCCAGATTTTATGGCCCATGTATGAGGTACAGGCACTCAAATGGGTACAACACGGATGTATCAGGAACGGAAATCCAACATGCTCCATGGTGCTGGAATGGTTTCGAACATTTAGCCTCAAAATCCGCCAGTCTTGTGGATAAAAATCATTTATAGTTCCGGGTTTCCTGAGTTTTTCCCTCATTCAAACCAATTCCTGGACAATTGTAAAAATGACATGCTAAGTGCAGCGTGTTCTTGAACTGAACAGGAATTATGAGTCAGCAGCTAACGCTTCAGAGCTTTTGCGTAATGTAGTGAAGGCCACGGTGCAGCTAATCTCCAAATATTATCATTATGACATGATGTTTGTTTTAGACCTTAAAAACGGTTATTGTTTTTGTTGTAAGGTCGCTTAAACTTTTGCCTAGATTAGCTTAATGCTTAAATTCTTGAAGCTGAGCACACTATTGGGGGTATGTACCTCATGAATCCACATGACTTCAGGTTATCATCAGGTGTTCTTATTACCATATATTTGCTTCTTGCTGGCTATTTTCCGTGGAAGAAAACAGGACATCTCTATTGCTGTCTGTATTTTTCGGCTCTAATTAGCTATATTTGTTTCAGACATAAATTTAAATGACTTTTTTTGTTAGATTCTTCTTTTTCAAAGCAATAAAACTGCTAAGTTCAACCTTTCCAAAGCTGCAAACCGGGTGAAAACCTCCCGGGGTCCATTCCCAATCTGAGGCGTTCCCACCACGGTGACGATGTAGTTACTGGGCACCAGACCTGCTCTTCATGGCTGGGATCCCCAAGAGCTGGTTGATTTCATGGAAAATCCCCGCAATGGATGATAACTAGGGGTACCCCCATGAATGGGAAACCTCCATATCACAATATCTATTTACATATATATATATATATATATATATCAATATTAGATATAGATTATTATTTATATATAATATATATATATATATTATATTATATTATATTATGTTATGTTATATTATATTATATTATGTTATATTATATTATATTATGTTATGTTACGTTATATTATATTATATTATATTATGTTATATTATATTATATATATATATATCATATATATCAATATATTATATATCTATTATTATATATATATTATAAATATTATAAATATTACAAATATTACATATATATTATATATATTATATATATTATATATATTATATATATTATATATATTATATATATTATATATATTATATATATTATATATATTATATATTATATATATTATATATATTTTATTATATTATATATATTATATTATATTATATTATATTATGTTATGTTATATT